TATAATATTTGTCTAACAAATCACTCTTTTAGTTATGCTCAATTATTATGATAGAATATGCTCAATTATTAATTTTAAGAAAAATCTATCGAACAATTTCTGAAATTACAATTAGTTTAGATGGTCTGCCAAAAATTGCGGCATGCTAAATATTTGCATTTCTCGTATCACAGCGTTATATCTCAAACTAACAATGAAAAGCTTATATACATTTTATTAACATTTAAGTTTTATTTTATTAGATTTAATGAAAACTGTAGAACGCTTAATAAATAAATAAACAAACTAAAACAAACTATAACATACGGTGCCTGACATCGTGCCTTAATGCAAATTTTTTTAAGTTTTAATTTTTTTTTTTTCAATATTTCGAAATTTGAAAATCTTGAACTTTTTTCGAAGCAATCGCAATGCTTAGATGTTTTAGAGATAAAAAATCGAAGCGCGTAAGCGCCGCATCGCTACAAATAAATGGAATAGGTACAGAACCCATAGAAATGTAAACAAAATTTACAATTATTATTAAAATCTCTATAAAATATCTGATAATTTGATGTGCCTCCTAATGATCAATTTTGACCGCCAAATGGCATTAATTTTTACTTTTTTTCATAGGATCTCTGAAACCGCTGGCCTTTCCAAAAATATAATCAGTTCTTCATTTCGTCAATACAAATACAATGTTTTCTGAATCATTCAAATTTGGCGCTCAGTTCTCACAAAAACTGAATTACCATTTTGAAACTTTTTACCCCTTATCTTCGAAATGGCTTGTTCTGCCCTTTACTAAAAACTAATCAGCACGTTTTTTTATCACTAGGAATCGAATGTTTTTTGAATGATTCAAATCGGTTGATCCGTGTTCTTGAAATCTTCGACAAAAATTTGTATCCGCACACACACATACACACATACATCCATTTTTTGTAACGTATGCCTAAATGTTCAGAAACCTTTGAAACATAAAGATATATAAAAAAATATTTTCTACTTTTTTTCTATTACTATAACTTACCCTACGAACTAACAATAAATAAACAAACCAAACTGTTTAATAAATATTCAAAATATGTAAAAAATGAATTTGAACGTTATTCTTGAAACCACAATGCGAAATTGTTTCTCAAACGCATAAAGTGTATTGAAACAGCTATACCGCACTTATAAATTATATTTTTGTCTAGTATACAAAAATGATATTTACCCGTTATATATGCAATACCCCACACATTAACAGTTACACCTCTAATAACAATAACACATGGCCTGCTATATAAGCGAATCGCATAAGAAACGTGGAAACTGGAACTTTAAAAGATACACCATCCAGGTATAAACAATCTCTATCTGTACGATAGAAATACTGTGTGCCCTTTGAATATGACGTATATATGTACAATACATTCATAATAACGTAACCATAGTACAGTAACCAAAATTTATTATATGCTGTAGCATATTTTGAATATCTTTTATTCATTTACACCGATATTTAAGCTCACAAACCGAAGGTTCTCTACACATGCTTTATCAAATATGCTAATCTGAAAACTTGACACGCAGTCGTATGTTTGCATTTACTGTCAAAAAAATTAAGAACCGGTCGGCAATCAAGACATTCAAAATAATGTACGCAAGACGTTCAATAATAAACTATGCGCCATTGCTGCAATAATAGGAAATGTCGTAGGGTCAAATGCGTTAAATACATCTTAAAGCACGCCTTTGAAAAAAGCACAATACAAATTAAGAAAGAACGAACATCAGTCAAATGAACTCAGTCGCCGAACATCAAATTTGTCCATACAATTGAATCACAGGCATATTCTCTCTATACTGTTCATCTCATTCATATGCAGATTTGAGTTATTTTACAATTTATATTATTCATACACAATGATGTTATGGCCTGATTCTTTAATAAATACATCCGTATTTAGAATGAAACATATTAATTCGGGATATCGACGTATATTAAAATTTTACATAAAAAACAGAACTTTCAATTCCTTTAAAACCAATTAAAAACACATGAGAAATCACAATGATCATAATAAATTAGTGGTGTATGACATCGTGCCTAAAAGCAAATTGCTGGAACTTCCCGTACCGTAACGAAATGTTCGAGGAATATTAAATGTTTTCAAATAGATTATTATTGTCTAATATTTATAAGAATTATATAAACTGAATTGCAAAGTTAAAATTATTTATTTAAAGTATAAGTGAGCTTTAGCACTTTCGCCAGAATTAAAATTAAAATCTGAGTTATTTCGAGCACATCTCGCTATCAATAGAAATCGAATGTCTTTTGAACCATTCAAATCGATTAATCCATGCGCCCGAAAAATTGCGGAAACACAAAACACACACACATCAATCTTTTCTGAGGTATGCCAAAATGTTCAGAAACCTCAGAAACGTGAAGAAATGCAAAAATTATTATTTTCGATTTTCGTCCCATTTATAACTTACCCTACGGGATGTTAAAAAAAGTTGCCAAAACCGGTGACATAATTTTAAATTTAAACTGTAGTATTTAAAAAAACAAGATAATAACATAGGCAAAACGCCAAGATATAAAAACTAAAAATTAAACATTAACCAAAAAATTACTCACATGCATGCCAAGTTATAATAGCTCATTCAAATCTATATTAAAGACAAAACACCTCACTATGAAATGACAACATATTCAGATTTTTTTGTCTGAATATTAGATTTCTATGCGCTTTAGTTACATTAAGGTACCATCTTATTTCCGGTAAAATATCTTATTATGACTTAATTCATACTAAATATAACTTCTGTTACTCATCCACAATATTTCATTTAAACTATATTAAGATTTAAGCTATAATTTAATCATTTCTAACACCCATAATGCGCATATTTTATGAAAAAAAAGGTAAACCATCATTGCCATCGTTTTCTTCTTAAGAATAATATTAAATACAATAACTAGTGCATGGCATCGTGCCTTGAGGCAAATTGCTGGAACTTTCCGTGCCGTAATTTGAAAATTTAAAAAACTTGATATTTTTTAAGTTTGAAAAAAAAATTTTTTTTTTGAGAATTTAAAAAAAAAATGACTTTTTTGAAAAAATTTAGTTTTTATGATGTTTTGGATTCTTTTGAAAATTTAGAGACAAAACATAAAATGCTCAAAAATCTATACGTAAAATTTGCTGTATGAATCATAATTCTCTAATAAGATCAAAGTTGTTTTAGAGCTTATGATAATTAAATATTTCTTATTTATTACGAACAAAAATAATATTTTCGACATAAAAAACACATTAACATATATTGTGTATGAAAAGAATAGACACAGACTAAACTCTTCATTTGAACTAGTTTTAATAATACAAATATGTATATAAACACTGTTGAAATATTAGAAATGATTATTGGGGCAATAGAAATAAAATCATTACTTATTCCAGTTGGATGAGTTTAATTATCTGTTTGTGGTGTAGTGTAAGTGCGACAGGGTTACACTAGGTGACGTTCTAGAGATAAGATTTCTTTAGCTGGCTGTTACGATTGCTTGACTCACAATCTGCTTAGGTTGAACTTCAAACGTCAAAGATACGAAGAAGCGTACGAAAACTGACGTTATGATCGACTCGCAGTAATCTGTCTAAAAGCTATGACCAAGGGAGGATTTGTTTGTTAGCTTGTTTGTGCTATACGTTTGGTGGGCTTAGAGCAAAACTATATAATATTATATGAGCTGCTCTCCATGAGACAAAATTTAAGTCAAAACTATACTGTCAACAATTGATCGTGCAAAGGAAGTAATTATCCAGAAGCGGACAGCTGTGGCCAACAGGGCATGCATATCAATAGTAACTCGGCACAAATTGGAGGAGCCTGGTTGAGAGAATCCTAATGCATCCATCTTACAATGCGGACCTGACATCAAGTGATTACAAGACGTTCCTGACCACAGCATACAATTTCGTTAGTGCAAAATTCACTCCAAAAAAGATTTATGATAGAAGATTGTTTCAAATTTCTGCCAATAGATACAACGGCTTTTATGAAAAAGCATAATGAAAGTACTTTCATAGACAACAAGTTATCGAATAAAACAGTGCATACTTGATCTAAATTGAATCATTTTAACTATGTTAAATAATTCTTTTTACTAATAGTTTACGTAAAAACAATGTTTTTAGTGCATATTGTAAAATGTTAAAAAATAATGCATATTTTAAAACGCATTATTTAAAATACTATAAAAATAAAATATTAATTAAATACATCGTTAATTTAGTTGCATTTTAATAATCAATTTCAACCAAAATTGAGATACGCACAATTCAATAAGATATAAAAATCAGAGATGCAGTCACACATTCTCTATTGATACTCGGGTTATTGAACCGCCGAACCCTTATTTTGCCGGAAACACACTGTTTCATAATTAACTTAATTCAATCATATTCCACACATTATTTTGGAAAACATGTTATCAGATTTTTTTTCTTTTTGTAAAATATTCAAAAAGTAAAAATAAAATTCATATGTGCCCATTTAAAATATTTATTATTGAAATTTTAATCAAACTGCAGAAAATTGTTTCTGAAATACATATTTAGTACCGAAAATTAATTTCAGGAGAAAAAACACAGTTTTAGGTTTAACGGGCAAAATTTTTTCACTAAAGTACTTCATTGTTTGACAAATGTAGGGTAGAAAATTCACGAGAGGGTAGTACAGTCAGAGAAAATGCATTCGATCAATGTAAATCACATGAACTATTGATAGAGGCAAACATCACAGTAAACTTATAATAATTTACTTAAACATAACAAAAAACAAACTTTCATTCATACCAAAGCTTTGCACTAACATTTCTTTGAACTAAAAGAATTGTTTATCAACAAGGTTTGACATAAGGTTAACAGTAAAGCACAGTAAAATCACCATCAATTAGTTAGCGTAATATTGACATAAAAATCATATATTATCAATAACAAAAACTGACTTACAATTCGATTTTAAATTACTTTTCCTGAATAAAACACAAAAAACACGACACAAACCAACTCACTTGTACAATGAACAAAACTGATTTTATTTGATTGCAAGAACAAATGCTATCTACAATTAGTGTTGCCAATGGAGAAAAATAATCTCATGTTGAAGTGTGAAGTTGAATGCGAACCCATAACAGTTCGATTTTTTCCCGCCGTATAAAATGTTCATATGATTTTGTTCATCAACATTTAAAAGAATACAAATTTTATTTAATAATTGTATCGCTATTAATGTAAACAGTTGCAGTTGCACTGAAATGCTGTAATATTACAAAAAAATTAAAGGATAACATCAGAAAATAAAATTATTTATTTTATTAAATGCAGGCAGCATTTGCACACATTTGTGTGAATATAAAACATTAATAAAATTATATGCATAACAATATTTTTACAAATCTACTACAATCAATATTTCAACTATATACAATGATTATTAAAAATTGAAGATTCCTATTTTATGAAAAATAGTTTGGAACAGATTTAAATTACTTAGTCATTTCTTTCATTCTGTTTAATGCACTGCCAGCTTTGAACCATCCAATTTGCAAATCGTTCAACGTGTGTTTCAGTAAGATTTTATCGACTTTTCCATCAGCATGTTTGATCTCACACTCAACAGGCTGTAAGAAGAAACATTTTATAATACCTACATTTGATTGATTTGTGGAAACCTCATATAGAAAATCACAGTAATTTACCTTTCCAGCACTAAGTTTGTCCAAACCTAACAAGCTGATTTTGTCAGTTGGTTGAATCTTGTCATAATCTCCTGGTGTGGCAAAAGTCAGTGGCAACATTCCTTGCTTTTTCAAGTTAGTTTCATGTATACGTGCAAAAGATTTTACAATTATTGCTCTACCACCAAGATGACGAGGTTCTAAGGCAGCATGTTCCCTGGAAGAACCTTCTCCATAGTTTTCATCACCTATAGCTACCCAACGAATACCATTTGCCTTATAATGACGAGCCACTTCAGGAACAGCTCCATATTGACCAGTAACTTGGTTTTTAACCTTGTTCATTTCACCATTTTCAGCATTGATAGCTCTAAAATATATTCATTTTTAAATAAAATAATATATCTTATATCTAAATTTAATTAGCATAATTGCATATTCTACATAAAATTGAATAAAATAAGTTGCAAATAATAAAATGTTAATTATCAATTATCTTGTAAAATTAATTAACAAAATAATGAATAACATGTCATTATAATTCACACATACAACAAATTCAAACCTACGTAATGAACATATTATTGGAAATATTATCAAGATGTCCTCTATATTTTAGCCAAGGTCCAGCAGCTGAGATATGGTCAGTGGTACATTTTCCTTTAACTTTAATGAGAATGGTCATATCAGTAAGATCTTTACCATCCCATTTATCAAATGGTTCCAACAATTGCAATCGGTCTGATTTAGGATCAACATTAACTTTCACACCTGAAAGTAATATTTTATTTATATTTAGTTCAGTAAAAGTTTATTTTATTTGATGTAAAATGAAAATATGTACTTGAGCCATCTGCAGGAGGTTGTTCATATGTATCTTGACCTGCATCGAAACCTTTGCTTGGAAGTTCATCGCCAAAGGGTGAATCAAGTTTGAATTCTTTGCCATCGCTTCCTTTCAGAGTATCTGTTACTGGATTAAAATCTAAGCGGCCTGTAAAATAAATATATAATATAATTAACTACTATGAAATGGAAGAACTTAATAAATATAAGATCAAGCAATAAGAATATTTTTTCTTATTAATTATATGAATAAAATATACCACAAAAAAAAACATTAGAAGGGTTAAAAACATATGGAAACAGAATAGATATTTTATCATTTAACTGAAGAAATGCAAAAATGAGCATAAATGTGGGAGGTTGCCTTAACTAAAAATCCATATTAACATATCAATAAATATTGAAATAAAAATAGAAAAGTTGCAATTTAAAATTAATTAATAATACTAAACACATAAATGAAGTGCATAACCCATTTCTCTAATCTTTAAATTTTATTATCAAATTACTTCTCAAACCTATAATTTTTAATGTTAATTGTTTTAGCTATCAAGTGGACTCTGAATCCTGAAGAAGTAGAGTACAATATTTTCAAATTATTACGTTTAATACATTTACACTTAATACATTTTTATATCTATATATTTTTTTTATCTGATGTTTCTTCAGAAGATGTAAAGCAATAAAGACATAATGAAAAATAACTAATACATAACTAGTAAATTAGCTATCAAAATTGATGATTCATGCAATAATTCAAGTACTAAATGTAAAAAATAATACAGTAAATAAAAACTTAAAACAAATTCTAAAAGTCAAGATCAGAAAAAAAGTTAAGTTTAAAATAGTTTGTGCATACCAGCAATTGATAGAGCTGTGACTAATTCAGGACTTGTGACAAAACAGTGAGTGGCAGGATTAGCATCATTACGGCCTGTGAAATTTCTATTATATGAAGTAACAATTGTGTTTTTCTCTCCTTTCTTCACATCCTTACGATCCCACTGACCGATGCAAGGTCCACAGGCATTGGCTAAAACCTTATATAATTACATTTCATTTAGTATTAAGATATTTTTATGTAAGCAAAGTTACAAAACATACAGTGCCACCAAATTCACGGAGAGTTTGGGCAATTCCATCTCGTTCGATCGTTGAACGAATCTGTTCAGACCCAGGTGTAACATTGAATGGAATTTTAGATTTTACTCCATGTTTCATTGCCTGTTTAGCAATGCTTGCACAACGTCCCATATCTTCATAAGATGAATTAGTACAAGAACCAATTAAGCCAACCTGTGGAATTGTATAGAAAATCACTAAAACTGATAGTACAATAAAAAGGATAGGATAGGTGTATGAAGCTTTTACATCAAACAAATACATTTAATGATCATATTGATTATAAAATATTATGAATAGTAAAATATTTATAAAGATAAATAAAAAATAAAAATAAATAATGCTGGCAAAAAACTTTTCAATGTTAAGTACATACTTTGATATCCATAGGCCACCCCTTTTCCTTAGCATTGGCTCCCAGTTTACTGATAGCACTAGCAAGATCAGGTGTAAAAGGTCCATTTACATGTGGTTCCAAAGTATCCAAATTTATTTCTATTACCTGCAAAAAATAATAATATGATATTTTACCTATAAACCTTATATATTAAATTAAAATTAAATTTTTTTTTTTATACTCTATCATAATTAGCTCCTTCATCAGCCGTTAATAAATCTTTCTTAACCCCATCAGCTTCCTTTGCAATGGCATCTCTTCCAGTAGATTTCAAGTATGAAGCCATTCGTGCATTGAATGGAAATATCTAAAGCCAAAACAAGACAATCAAAGATCAAATTTTTGTAAAAAAAAAATGCAATTATGGACTTATGGACACCATAAGTCCATATGTAAATATGGTAATAAAGTAATTGTGATGAAGCTTGATAAATAGAATAAATTCTACTTACTGATGTTGTTGCTCCAATTTCAGCACCCATGTTACAAATGGTAGCCATGCCTGTACATGAAATTGCATCAACACCAGGTCCAAAATACTCAATGATGGCACCAGTGCCACCCTTTACAGTTAAAATATCAGCAACTTTCAAGATAACATCCTTAGGAGAGGTCCAGCCTCCTAATTTGCCAGTCAATTTTACTCCAATAACTTTTGGGCATTTCAATTCCCATGGAATATTGGCCATTACATCAACGGCATCTGCTCCTCCAACACCAATACACAGACCACCTAATCCACCACCGTTTGGTGTGTGGGAATCAGTACCAATCATTACCAAGCCAGGAAAAGCGTAATTTTCCAAAATAATTTGATGAATAATGCCAGAGCCTGGTTTCCAAAAGCCCACCCCATATTTAGCACTAGCACTGGATAAGAAACTGTATACTTCTTTATTAATGTCCTTGGCTCTAGCAAGATCTTGATCTCCTCCGATTTGTGCTTCGATTAAATGATCACAATGAATCGTGCTAGGAACGGCAACTTTAGGCAGCCCTGATGAAATAAATTGCAACATGGCCATTTGAGCAGTAGCATCTTGCATAGCAACTCTATCGGGTCTTAAACGTAAGTAGCTAGTTCCTCTTTCAATTTCTTGTTTTTCAGGTTCATCTAAATGAGAATATAATACTTTTTCGGAAAGAGTTAATGGCCTGTTCAAACGCTTTTTAACAACTTTTAAATTTTCTGATAATTTTCCATAAGGCAGATAAGAATCACTGTCGAATTTGCTCATGGCCACCTTGCTGGCCATGGCAGTTAATGGCGAGACATGAAAGCATCTTTGTTGAACTTCAGCAATAAATCCCGCCTACAAAAACAATTACATAATGAGTTGATATTAATATTGAATTAATTTTAATATCTGATTTATACCCATGGCATATGAATTAATCAATACCAATAATTTTAAAGTTGATCAAACCATTTTAGATTCTCAATATTTTTTTCATAATTTTAAATGCAATTTTACTACTGCTTTTTTAAAAGTTTGCAATTTAAAATGCATTTTCTGCTCAAAGAGATAAGTAATTTGAAAATATCTAAATAAAGTCATTGTATAATATAGCAGTCAAAATAAATTGCACAAGTGATTGTTTTGAAAAATTTCTTATCTAAACCGCGCATGAACTCGATCTCATGATATGTAGTTATTTTTAATCAAATCGAACTTTGAGCTTGATTTATGAAAAAGTTATAAATAAATTTGGAATGTGCCTAAAATGAAGAAATAGTTCAACGCTTATACAATCATATCAACCAAAATAATTTGAAACGTGTATAAATTATTAGGTTATATAACAATACGGTATACGGCATTTGATTAAAAATATAAAAATTCAAACATTACCTGGCGATGCAAAACTCTCATACAGTACGCCATGACTAGGAGCGAGTTGCTGAATTTTATAACAATGTTTATTGAAAGTGCAAATTATATTATTAAGTTTTGTGCACTATAAACATTTGAGTTTTCCTCACCAATTATTTGCAATAAACTTCGAAGCTTGTCACACGACAAACAACTCAAGATGACAACTTCGTCGCCACTCTCTGCAGCGGCAGCCCCGACTCACACTAAACTCTTCAGTTGGGTTTCGTATACCGTTAAATAATTTACTTACTCTGCAACAGATGATGCAGCTATTTATTCAATTCAAACGATTGCGCAACTAACCGATTTCTTTAACAACGTGAATAATAATATAATATTCGAATTATCATCGACGTAAAACTGATAAGTTGTTGTCCGTACATTTATATTATTAACTTCCCGAAGTAAAAGTTTGTTTTCATCAAAAAATCCGATTCGCTAATTTTATGTTTTCTCGACGTTTCAAGCCGTTCGAATGAGACCAAATTTGGAAAAAGTATGTGTGTGTATGTGTGTAAACAGATTTTTTACCGTGAATCGACCTTTACTCAAGAACGACTGGACCATTTCAAAAATTTAAAAGCTATTCGATGTATCTCGATGAGGACTAGTAGAAAGGTGGAAAATTTTTCGTCCACGTTTTAGCCCGCAATTCTGAATTTTGAAAATTCAAAAACCGTTTGAAAGATATTAGTTGGGAATCGTGCTGATTAGTTTTTGGTAAAGATCGGCCAGGCCGTTTTCTTGTAATAAAAAATTAAAAATATTTTTTCGACGTGTTCTATAATTTTTTTTGACGGTAGATACCATAGTCTTATAGATCATACTAAAATATTACGGCCCTACGACAAGTAGCTTAATTTTAAAAATTCATCAAAGTTTGAGAAAATGAGTAGCTTTTTTGACGTTTGTTAAAATTAAAATTAAGACGTTTTACTTGGTATAACGATAAGGTCTTTGTTCGTTTTCAATGATGTGTGATAAATCCACTCAAAATACTTAATAATAAAATCACTCATAAATTAATTTGATACTTTATTGATTAAGTCGATAATTTACACATACCGGGAAGTTCATGTACCTTGCCTCAAGGCAAAATACCAATACCAACTAGTTTATTATTAATTTCTTACTAACTTCTTTTCTAAATCTCATGAGATGTGGAAATGATAATTCGGGCTGATTAGATCCAGATTGAAACCCAGATCATATATCTAATTGTAAAAGTGAAATAATTACGTTATTTAATAAAAATTTACATTATATACCAATAATCACATTCACTCAATCAGTATTACTATTTTTTGTTCATATATCAGTATACTAAATTTCTGTTCATTTCATGATACACTACACAATGTGGTACATGTTGATTTTTACGAAGCGGTAGTTGATGTTTGCTCCGGAACATTTTCGCGACATTTAAAGTAATTTTAAATCGTTTGACATCATATTGGAAAGGATATTGCTTGTGTTTGTATGTGTGTGTACATCTTAATAACTTGTTTCTTTGTAATTAACAGACGAATGAATTTTTTTCAACGTTTTCGCAATAAATTTTGAACAGTTTTTGAAACAACAATGAAAACCATTCGAAAATTATTAATGTATCCGATTCGAAGAGTATTCATTAATCCGATATGTCTCATTTATAAACATTCTAAGATCGCCAATTTAAGACATATTTTTCATCCACATTTTCTCACAAAATACTACTACGCTTTGAAGAATTTCAATTGGTAATTAAAAATTGTTGCTTGACTAACCCTTAACAAAAATCAATCAATAAGATTTTTAATTGATATATTTAAGTTTTGTATGTCACATAATTTTTTGACTAGTATGTAAGCTGTAATTATGCCACGGACACTAGGGTTCCCAAAACAATTTATATGAAAAATATGGTGAATTGAGTGCCAAGGCCCTTATTGTGAGATATGGACAATGACGATTGCCCAAAAGTACTATTCACACTATCAGAATCATTCTAACCGATAATACTTTTCTTCAAAAATCGTGACAAATTTCTTTTCGATGAGTGTGTCTGTGTAAGTTTATAAATGTCAGCAATTTTATGACACACATAATTAATTATAAGATTTAAAACGTAACAAATTAAAAACTATTATAAAAAATATCACACCTAATATATATGGGGTATTTAATTTATTATATTCCTTTTATTATATATTACCTATTAATTTTTATATACATATATAATTAATCACATTTCATATTTTTAACATTAATATTTAAATGTAACATTAAAATACGGGAACACTCGAGCAACTGCAGAACTTAAATCTTTACATATATATAAATATATGTAAATAGTTTGACAATGAAAACATGATTTATAAATAATAAAAAATTAGTTTTAGCGCAATAAATTCATGTTGACATTTTTGCTTTGCTTTCGTTATTCGAGATATATTAAAAGTACTTTTGAGTAACTAAAATTAATTTCTCAAGGAGGTATAACATTTTTGAATTTTTGTCAAATATTCAATATTTTTGTCAAATATTCAATATTCAGTGAGTATAAAATAAAATATTGAATTTAGCAATAAATATAACATCTATAATTAAATATCACAACAATCTAATTTATACTAATTTCTATAGAGTTCATATTCATTTTCAGTTTAGGTTTGACACAATTTTTGTGATTGGCATATTAAGAAGGGCATTATAAGGGCAGATAACCAGCATTATCTTAATGACATAAAATGATTAATTATTTATTCGGAATATTTAAAGAAGTATGATACATTAAAGTATGTTCTAAATTAATTTAAATGCTATAAAATGACTAGATTTTATAATTAATTTTCATTACTATATCGCCATTATAAAATATATTTGGAAAGAATATGAAAATTTTTCTGCTAAAACTAGTTGACATGTGATCATAATAATTTTTAAATATCAAATTATTACGATGTTCAAAATGATAGTGTATCAAAATTAATTTTGTTTTATAAATGTTTAGATGATAATTCTATTTGTCGAATAAAGTAATAATAAATTTATTAGTTGATCTTAAAAATATCTTTATCTTATAAATGTAAATAAACAAATTAAGTACGTGCAACAATCATTTCATCAAATTTCGTTCGCATTTTATTTTTATACATAGTGTTTTTTTTTAAGTAGACGGTTTTTCCATGTGATACATATCACCTAAAAGTCTACTAATAGGAATTTCTCCTATCGTCTCTTTAAAGAATAGTAATTCTACCGTAACTGGTCTAACAGCACGCAGGCAGGGCAGCAGTAACAAAAGACGTCCAAATCTGGTGGGCTGCCGAGGATACCTCGAACGAACATAATCGCCCAGAATGCACTGCGCCTGATCTTGAAGCATTTCAACAGGCTGAACGTCACATAAACCAACGGTTTCTGTAAAAGACAAAATCCTAAATTAAAACTATATTGTAATTATAGTTGTGATTGACCAATACTGCCTCAACACTGATTTTCAAATAAGAAGATTAAGGGAAAGTTGTGAATGTAAAATTAGTATGCAAAATCGCAACGTCCCTGATACTATATAAATAATGCGATACTAATATAAACATAAGAATTATAAACAAAACAATTCGACTGTTTTCAGAACGATAATGTCGTAAGTAAAAAAGAAATTATAAAACTGTAGTTGTTGAGATTACGAATGCATGAACTTTTCGAAATATCTAACCTGGAGCAAAAAGAACTACAGCTTTCATGCAGCCGCATTCGCTTCCATCTGGTGCGATCTGACGAAACCTGCACAATATTTCCTGTACAGCATTTGCTTCTTCGGCGTCCAGGCCTACATTTGTTCTTTGCCGTTCTAATAAAGCTCCTAGATCCCAAGGAGCTGACCATTGAGCCAAATGAAGCAAGAATAGTTCTTTCCATGACTCTTGTAAAAGCAATAATTGATCGCGCTTTGATAAGGTTTGGAATGGTGCGAGACATCGTACCCAACGAACTGCCATGAAGAGAAGACGGGCTGTTGTTTCCTGAAATAATTTCACATTCTAAACTCGTAATTCGCAATCGTATATATATATATATATATATATATATATATATATATATATGTGTGTGTGTGTATGTGTATGTATGTGCGGATACAATTTTTCGTCGACGGCTTCGAGAACACGAATCAACCAATTTGAATAATTTAAAAAACATTCGATTCCTAAGGAGACGTGCTGACTAGTTTTAAGCAAAGGCAGGTTCAGCCGTTCCGAAGATACAAGACAAAAAGTGCCAAAAATGGTAATTCAATTTTTGAGAGAACAGAGCGTCCGATTGGAATTATACAAAAAACGTTTTATTTGTATAGACAAAATGAAGAACTGATGAAATATTTGGGAAGACAAATTTAGCGGTTTTGGAGATCCAATAAAGAAGTAAAAAAAATCACGGACAAAAATAATCATTAGACATATGCACATCTAATTATCACGTATTTTATAGACAATTTAATAATGAGAACAAATGTTTACATTTTTATGGGATCCGTACCAATGTTTATCCGTTATACTGCGAACGCCCACGAGCTTTGATAATTCGTTTCTACGCAGCTAACGTATCGCGATTGCTTTAAAAAAAAATTCAAAATTTACAAATTATTTTAAAGTAAAAAAAATTTTAAAAACTTTAATTTTTGGATCGGAAAGTTCCAGCAATTTGCCTTAAAGCACGATGCCATGCACCACTAGTTGTACAATGAAATTTCCTTGTTAACTTCACGTAGGATAAGTTATAGTTTTCGCAAAAAAATTGGAAACATTTTTTTTATATATCTTCACGCTTCAAAGGTTTCTGAACATTTGGGCACACCTTAGAAAAAATGGATGTGTGTGTGTGTGTGAATACAAATTATCGTCGACCATTTCAGGAACACAGATCAACCGATTTGAATTATTCAAAAAACATTTGATTCTTATTGATAAGGAGACGTGCTGAGTAGTTTATGGCAAAAGCAGGTCTAGCCGTTCCGAAGATACGGGGCAAAAAGAGCAAAAATGGTAGTTCAGTTTTTAAAAGAATGGAGCGTCCGACTTGAATAATTCAAAAAAACATTTCATTTATATTGACGAAATGAACAACTGACAAAATTTTTGTTGTGGCAAGTTTAGCGGTTTCTGAGATCCAATAAAAAAAGTTAAAAAAAGTCATTTGGCGAATAAAAATGATCATTAGGCATACGCACATCAAATTAACAGACATTTTATATATATTTTAAGAATAAGAACAAATTTGGTTTGGTTCTATGGGTTCCGTACCAATGCCTACCCGTTAGTCTGCGACGCGGCGCACACGCGTTTCGATATTTCGTTTCTACGCAGCTAAGGTATCGCGATTGCTTTGAAAAACAGTTCAATTTTTTCAAAATATTTCAAAGTATAATAATAATTCAAATATTTAAAAAAAAAAAATGAAAATTTTAAAATTCCCAAAAATCTATTTTTTTTTCAAAATTCTAAAAAAGTGATTTTTTTTAAATTTATTTTTAGTGTGGGAAGTTCCAGCAATTTGCCTTAAGGCACGATGCCATGCACCACTAGTTTTATTTTATTTTTTCAGATCCTGAAAAAATATTCACACGTAGTCTATATACGATACCTTACATTTTAATCTATGTTACTTTAACACATTTATTTTTTTTTTTTTCCCACATATCATTAGTTGTTTAAATGTTATAATTGTTTCTGAATGGAATGAAATATAATTTCAATAAAGATGTGCTTTTGCTTTACTATTGGTTTCCATTGTGAGGGCGTTTGACTTACGCGATCGCTCCACCCTATTTTCAAATGACTTTCTGACTTGTGCGCAGGGCGCAAAGAGTCTCGTTAAACGATGGATTCCTATTGGATATAGCTACTGTATCTGCACTCCCAAAAGTTGAAAATTATACTAATTTCAGTGATCCCAACGATAGGCCACTGTACAAAACTTTACTTTGTTTAAATTTCATACTATTTAGTTTATTTTCACGTTATCGTTGTTCTAACTATACTTCACATATATTTATTTCTTAGTTATATATAAAGTTACTGTAGATGAAATGAAACTAAGATGACCACTTCAAGATCTCAAGAAAATTTTACCATAACTTGGAAAAAGTGAATATATCCATTATATGCATGTTTCGTAAAACATTCGTTTTGCTTTTTGGATACGCGGAATTATCTCCGAGTTACGGAGAAAAAACATCTAACAATATTCCTTTGGAAACTAAAATTAAATGACAAATGAAAATTTAACCTATAAAACTTTTACAACATATTTTAACAACTTGTATAAATTTATCATAATAAATTTTGAATTCCGTAGCTTATATATTATATTATAAGCTTGCATACAAAATTACTTTGAACAAACTATTTCAACATTAAAAAAAATGGATTCATTTTTTCGTGGTTAAAGATTTTGTATCAATACATAAAAATCCCACAACTTAACAATTAATACTAAAATACTAATAGACCAACTATTTTTTTACAATAGGCGACTTATGTATGAAATTCATTATATTATAAGTCTCCGTTATTGCCGTAAACCTTCGACGATCATTCAAATATTTTAAAATCTAGTTTGGTTTATTTAATATTTTTTTCAATATTCAGTTAAAATTTTAGAATTTTTTAAGGTATTAGTTTCTTATCACAAGTTCTTCATGCGTTTCTTAAATACTAAATGTCATTATATCGATATATGAAATGACCATCAAATTAAAGATTTTTATATAGAATTCAAAAGCATGCATAATTTTTTAAAATATATTTTTGCGTTCCGTACAATATTAAATATTAAAAAAAATGCTTATGTATTCCAAACAAACTTATTTAGCTCTACATTTATCGTATATCGTTCAAAATCTTTGCAATCACTCAATCCAGGGTTTATTAAAAAATATTTAGATTTTCCAGTTTTTTTTTTAAATATTGAAATCGCTCAAATCTCAAACAGTATTTTTTAACCAACTGACCTGCAGAACTTCCCAAGTAGGTGTCAAAGGTAATGCTAATGGACTTGGAATTGGTGGAGACATCATTACATCGCCTTGCATTTGTAATTGCTTTGCGCTCCAAACTAATTCCTGCAACAACAAAAATCATATATGTAAATTTGATTATTTTACGCAAATATATTATTGAAAAGTATATAACTAACCTGACATCTCTCAGCTGACATCAGTATGTGTAACATTCCTGGATGCGTCGAATTTTGCGGCTGATTAAAACTGGGGGAAACCGAAGATTGCATGATATCTGAATCACCAGGCGGGCTCACAGAAGCTGTACCCCCAGATACTCCAGCTGGGGGTCCTACAAAAATTATACATAGGTAAAAGAATGTAATAATAGATAATTCTGATTAATCAGCTTACTTTATTAAATTAACGAAGTTCCATAATGTTTAATGATATTTTGTTTTACTAAATTTTACAAATCGTTACCAATACATGAGTACATATTCTCAAATGACTTATGATATTCAACTTAAAACCTTATAAGATACGCTCTAAATGTATCTTAGAATCCAATAAATAAGTAGTCTTAAATTACTTATAGCATTCAAATTAAATTCTTAAAAGATACACTTTAAATATTATGATCAAGATATATATCATGATGTATCTTTCAAATTTTATTAAGAAATTATAAAGTATTAGCTTGTAAATTAATTTTGAATTTCATAATAATAATAGAATAAAAAACAAAATATGTTGTAACCTGGTAAACTTCCAGAAGATGACGCACTGGACGATCCTGGTGCAGGTACCGGTTTCATCATAGGCGATGCATGGTGTCCAAAGAAGGCAGGTGGAAACTGGAAAGAATGCAACGGATGTCCAGCCACTGGCGCAACTGAGTTGAAACCTTGTAGGTGAAGCTTGCCAAACTGGTGGTGCTCTATTTTATGATGACCTGTCATAATGGCATGGGGGTGCAGAGGTGGTAATGGTGGAAGAGCACCATGAGCAATCTGATTATGACCAGAATGGGCATTGGAACCAGGCGGATGTTGTGATTGAGTTTGTTGGTGATGGTGTTGTGCTTGTTGATGATGATGCCCGGACGAATTATGATTCAGCTGTAAATGAAGCTTTGGTTTACGTGGTCCACGTTCATGTTGTACAGCTGAAAAATAGAAACTTAATTTTAGTATTCATTTATCATCATTTTAGCTTAATATTAATTACAATGCATTTTTGGCGTTTGTTTGAGCGTAGCGTCTTTAAATTTATAATTAAAATTGATATTGAATAATGAAAATACAATTGAACAGCATACTCAATATTTAAAATAAAGTTAGCGTTTGGTAGGTCAAATGATTGATTGAAACTCATTAATAACCAATAAATGCGTTAATGTAAACATGTTTTTTGCAAGAAATATATGTCAGCATTAAGTCTTAATAAACCATTGTTATAAAACTTGTTATAACACATCAATAGATAATATCATAAAATAGTTAATATCTAAAATTATATTGTTTATCAACTGTATATATATATATATATATATATATATATATATATATATTAGGGAGGTCCTTAAAATGGTCATTTTCGAATTTCCTTGCTCAAATGGTTCCAAATAGATAAAAAACAATTCTCTGAAAGTTTTAGCTCTTAATATTAACGTTTAGATAGAGCGCAATTCAATCAAAGTTTTGTATGTAAATAGCATGGAAAAATTTTCAAAAAGTTTAAAAATGTTTTTTAGATGTGATTTAGCGAACAAATGAATGAATAAAACTCATTCATTTGTCGCTAAGTTACGCCTAAAACACGTTTTTTTAATTTTCAAATTTTTTTCCATGCTCTTTCCATACAAACTTTGATTGAATTGCGCTAGATTATAATAGATTTCTGCAATGATGAATGAGCTGGCAGTTTTACTGAATATAGTCAGATAATTATTTGCTCGATTTGTGTAATTTGTTGTGATGTATTTGGTTTGGTTTTTATAATATTATTTCTCAAATTTAAGTTGGACCATAGATAACAAATTCGCATTTGATGTGTTTGATTAAAAAAATATTAGTACAAAATCTAACCCTATTTTAAACTTTCTCTAAATGAACTCTCTGAATTCAGTTCGCTCTGACTGAAATAGTAATAAATTTTTTTAATACTGTCCAAATGCTCAAGGTACTCTTTGATCGTTTATTCATATCCCTTTTATAAATATAATAATATAAAATAGAATTAATCAGAGTGTTTCAACTTGAAATTCAATTTTTGTTCAGGAATACGATTCTAAATCTGAAATCTGTGTCATCCTATCCAGAAATACCTGAGCAATTAAGTCTTGCAGAAGAACGACATACTTATCGATAACAACGGTGACTTTGCAGAAATCATACAGAACGTGACCAGAGCAATTACCTTAGGAGGGCGCGAGATATCAAGGAGTTTGTGTAGCTTTTTCGAGAGGGGTTGATTTTCCATGGAGTACATTTTAATCGTTCTTTGCGCCCCTATACAATATCGTGCTCCCATTCAATTAATCCTGCATTTCATTGAAGCCCGAGGGCTTTTCAAAAGAGATTTTAAATTAAATACAAATATTAAATATTAGCTAAACATGTTTTACATACATACGCGACTTTGCAGTAGAAGTGAGATAAAAAACTTAAGGGCGCCGAGATTTAAAATAATATTGAAAATATTTAAAATCAACAATGGTGTCATTTAAATAATATTCACTACCTTTGTCTTTTGTGTTGTTTTAAATCCTTTTTATGCCAAGTGATATAAATTGTTTTGAAAATAAACAGATTTCATTTTCGTTCTCACGTATGGTCATAATATATTTGTAAATAAAATATAATGAATACAAATCATTTATTTTCAAAAACTATTTAATTTAGAATTTTAGAATGTAAATACATTGCTTAATTTGTTGTGCGCATGTCGTGAAAAAATAAAATTGTATGAAAATAGCCAATGGCTAATTTCAATATATGAAGAAATTTATGCTAGTTACCAAGATAAATCTTATTAAGACTTAAGATTAGTTATGAGTGAACAAAATTGATCTACTTTTATCAATTATCTAAAAAACAACATCACCGGATTAAATATTTTTTATTTAAACCAATCGATTTATTCAATTAATAAATAATCTAATAATTTTTCAATCCTATCTTTTTGATGTTCTTTCTAAACCGATAATTCAAAAAAAATATATATATATATTGAAATGTATAATACACATATTGGTTTCATTGTTTAGTTTTTTTTATTGTAAATTAATTTTTTATGGTTTCTTAAATAAACATCTAATTTTTTATCATTACTAAAATTAATAACGTTAAAAGATTGCTAACTGAGAGAGCTTTTAATTCAAGCAGTATTCTCGGTTTAGAAGTTTATATCGATATTTAAGATATCCCCATAAAGTAAAATAGTGACCACAAAGTATCACTTCGCCGAGAAGTCACCTTTTTTCTTTCAACAAGTATGGGCACAAAACTTTATATAAAACGATAACCCTTTCTATCCCCTTAGAAGTTTCACGGAAAATATATTTGAATTTATATTTAAACTAATTAATGCACGCCATGTATCTAAATAACAATTAGAGAATGTTACGCTTCTTGTAAGTGTGTATACTATAATTATATAAACAATTAGTGGATAATTTATTAATGAAATTAATTATGATTATATTTAGTATCATTTCTAAGGAGATCTTAATTGCGTTCAATGTATTTTTTCCATTTTTTTCACATATTTCATATTCACTTTTGAATCGTTTTTAATTGTCTTTGTAATACTCTATATTATTAAAGACTTGAACAAAAGCCATTAACATCAAAATTGTTATAAATCGCCAATATATGTAAAGAGCATCTCTCAATTTTATGCCGACATACGTTACGATCAAAACGACAAATTTTGATACTAGACTTTAAAACTATTAAAAATAGATATCATTTTTTTTTATTTTACGATATAATTTACAACTGTGCTTAGTCTATATCTAGTAAATTTAAAGACAATATAGTTAAATAACATATGATAAATGACAGTGGCGGATCCAGCTTTGGCGTCAGGGGGGGGGGGGGGTCACATAACTAAATTATGTATAGAACATACATTCGCAATACGATTAGAAAATCCTTAAAATTTAGGAGTCTTTGACTCCGCCGTTTGTCTATAATAAGTTACATATTGAATTTATAGAATGTGTTTGGTAACTAAATACATAAATTAAATTATTATGAAGTAATTTTATTGCTGAATTAGTGTTCTATCTAAGTCTTAAGACAAGCTTTGGGGGGTGTCATGACCCCCGTGACCCACCTCCTGGATCCGCCACTGATAAATGAATGACAATAGTAAAAGTAGCCAGTGTTACTTCTACTTCAAATATAAATATATCTAAAATAATGAAAAAAATAGTCAATATGTTAATATGTCATTATAATCTTTAGTATTTTATGCGTAACAAAAATGTACGTAAGTTCAAAGACTTTTATTTACTTTATGTTTTTTGTGTTTAATATATCTGCATTATCTGATTGAGTGCCTCATTTACTTGTCAGAGAACAAATCTTATTAACGTTATATGTTTTTCGAGTTAAAAAGCTTACTAAAATTTTGTCTTTTGTCCCTCGAACAAGATTAGTTTGATTCTTTAAGGTTCTTCAAAGTCGTAGATTTGTCACATAAAACAAACTACTTAAACACTGCACATATCGATGTGGCCTTTGAGTGTAAATTATGTTCAAATTTAAGAATGCCACTAGATATTACAATTTTAAATTTTATCTGTACCGACCGTGCTCAATCATTTTACTTTTGTTAGTGCTTGCCCATCATATGAGTTGATGGGGGTGGTTATAAATTACAAGTGACATGATCTGTTATTAAGTTGGAGCTTTGGGTTCAGGTGTCGGCATTCCCAGCCGTAGCTACGAGTTGCCGAGTTGCGGCCAAGTACGGGATTAACCGTGCACCAAGTCGAGAGGGAAGAATTCGACTACATCATCCGAATACATACATTTATGTATAAACGAGGTACAGCTTGTAATGTTCTGATGGCTAATATTGTCAAAGTTTATTTTACAGCAGACACGATATGACATTTACTTATATAATAATAAATTCAACTGGTGGGGCGCATGGCATCGCGCCTTAAGGCAAATTGCTGGAACTTCCTGTACCAAAAATTATTTTTTTTAAAAAGATTAACATTTTTGAAAAAAAAATAACTTTGAAAAAATTAGATTTTTGAGAAACTATAAATTTTTGACAATATATTACTTTTTTTTGGAAAAAAAATACTTTTTGAAAAAAAATTTATTTTGAAATATTTTGGAAAATCTGAACTTTTTTTCAAAGCAATCGTACTGTTATAACTGCATAGAGACGAATATCGAAGCACGAAAGCGCCGCGTCGCCGTCTAACGGATAAACATTGGTACGGAACTCATAGAAATGTAAACAAATTTTATACTTATTGTTAAAAACTCTATAAAATATCTGATAATTTGATGTACATATGTCTAATGATCATTTTTGACCGCCAAATGACATTTTTTTTTACTTTTTTTACTGGATCTCCGAAACCGCTAGACCTGCTTCCATGAAAATTCGATGAGTTTTTCATCTTGTTAATACAAGTAAAATGTTTTTTGAATAATTCAAATCGGACGCTCCGTTCTCTTAAAAACTGAGTTATCGTTTTTGGTATATCTACGGAACGGCTAGACCTGCCTTTGCAAAAAACTAATCAGCACGTCTCCTTATCAATGCGAATCGAATGTTTTTTGAATTATTCAAATCGCTTCATCCGTGTTCCCGAAATCGTCGACAAAAATTTGTATCCGCGCACACACACATACACGCACATACACACACACATATACACACATACACACACATACACACATACACACACATACACACACACATACATCTATTTTTTCTAAGGTATGCCAAAATGTTCAGAAGGTTTTGAAAATACTATAGATTTTTTTGTCAATTAAAAAATACTCGAACACAGATTGTGCATCATTTTCATTATAGAAAAAGTCAATACAAATCACTCCTGGGATTGAACCACTGAACTCTGGCGCTCTCATTGAACTGTGTGCGTTTTGTGTCGTCAGAACCCAGTTAAAA